ACAGGGACCTATACTGACGATCAACAAAACCAAAAGCTGGTTCTTTGAAAGATAAACAAAATTGATGGCCCTCTAGCTAGATTGACAAGGGCTCAAAGGGAAAGGATGCTAATAAACTCAATAAGAAATGAAAAAGGAAAAATCACAACAGACACCATGGAAACGCAAAACATTATATTTGACTACTATAAAAAATTATATGCACAAAAACTACATAATGAAGAGGAAATGGACAAATTCCTGGATTCATACAACCTAAGTTCACCCAGGAGGTAACAGAATTCCTGAAGTGACCAATCACAAGCTCAGAAATTGGAGCAGTAATTAATAACCTCCCCAAATGGAAAAGTCCCTGACCAGATGGCTACACTTCAGAGTTCTACCAAACATACAAAGATGAACACATACCTATACTACAGAAACTATTCCACGCCATTGAGAAGCATGGTATCCTTCCTAATTCATTCTACAAAGCCAACATCACTTTTATACCAAAGCCAGGAAAGGACACAACAAAAAAAGAGAACTACAGACCAATATCCCTCATGAATATAGATGCAAAAATTCTTAATAAAATTTTAGCAAATAGAATCCAGCAGCACAACAAAAACATAATCCACCATATTCAGGTGGGCTTTATTCCAGGGATGCAAGGCTGGTTCAACATACTCAAGTCTATAAATGTAATTCACCTCATAAATAAAAACAAGAACAAAGACCGTATGATTCTGTCACTAGATGCAGAAAAAACATTTGACAAAGTCCAAAACACCTTTATGATAAAAACTCTTAACAAAGTAGGCATACATAGCTCATACCTTAAACTTATCAAATCCATTTATGACAAACCCACTGCTGATATCATTCTAAATGGGGAAAATTGAAATCATTCCCTCTTCAAACCGGAACTAGACAAGGATGCCCACTATCTCCTGTCCTATTCAATATAGTTCTCAAAGTCCTAGCTATAGCAATGAGGCAAGAGAGAAGTATTAAGGGCATCCAAGTGGGGGCAGATGAGATCAAACTCTTGCTCTTCGCTGGTAATATGATATTATACCTAGAAAACCCTATGGATTCATCCAAGAGACTCCTAGATTTGATAATTGAATTTGGTAACGTTGCAGGTTATAAAATCAATATACACAAATCAAAAGCATTCATATATGCCAAGAACCATCAAGCAGAAACTCAAAACAAAAACGCAATACCCTTTATTATAGCCCCAAAGAAAATTAAATCTCTAGGAGTATACTTAAGGAAAAATATGAAAGATTTGTACAAGGAGAACTACAAACACTAAAAAAAGAAATTGCAGATGATTTAAACAGATGGAAAAATCTACCTTGTTCATGGATTGGTAGAATCAATATTGTTAAAATATCAATATTACCTAAAGTGATCTACAGAATCAATGCAATCCCCATCAAAATACCACCAGCTTTCTTTACAAATCTGGAAAAAATAATTCTTCACTTTGTATTAAACCAGGAAAAACATCGTATAGCTAAAGAAATCTTAATTAAAAAGAATAAACTGGGAAGCATCAGTCTTCCTGACTTCAAGCTATATTATAAATCAATAATAGCTAAATAAGCCTGGCACTGGCACAAGAACAGAAGCATTGATATCTGGAATAGATCTGAGATACCAGAGATGAAACCATCAGTATACAGTAACCTAATCTTTGATAAAGCAGGCAAAAATATACAATGGGGAAAAGATTCTCTCTTCAATAAATGGTGCTGGGAAAACTGGTTACCTACATGCAGAAGTGCAAATCAGGATTCCTACCTATCACCTCTGATAAAAATACACTTAAGATGGATAACAGACTTAAACCTAAGGCATGAAACCTTAAGAATCCTAGAAGAAGATGTCTGGAAAACCCTATCAGACATTGGCCTAGGAAAAGAATTCTTAAGGAAGACTCCCAAGGCAATCACCATGGCATCAAAAATAAACAAATGGGATCTGATCACATTTAAAAGTTTCTGCACAGTCAAGGAAACTATCATCAGAGCAAATAGACAAACCACAGAGTTGGAGAAAATATTTTCTCTGTTTACTTCAGATAAAGGTCTAATAACAAGAATCTATCTAGAACTCAAAAGAATTAACAAGAAAAAAATCAAACAACCCCATCAAGAAATGGGCAATGGAAATGAACAGAAATTTCTCCAAAGAAGACAGAATAATGGCCTGCAAACATATAAAAAATGCTCAACATCTCTAATCATCAGAGAAATGCAAATCAAAACCACAATGAGATACCACCTAACCCCAGTGCGAATGGCCTGTATCAAGAAATCCCAAAACAACAAATGCTGAAGAGGATGTGGAGAGACAGGAACACTCTTACTTACACAGCTGGTGGGACTGCAAATTAGTGCAACCTTTGTGGAAAAGAATTTGGAGATACGTAAAATCGCTAGAAATACCATTCGACCCAGCAATAGCATTGTTGGGCATCTACCCAAAAAAAGCACAAGACATTCTATTACAAAGACATCTGCACACGAATGTTTATGGCAGCACAATTCATGATTGAATGGTCATGAAAACAACCCAAGTGCCCATCAACTCATGAGTGGATAATTAAAATTTGGTATATGCTCACAATGGAATATTATTCAATCCTAAGAAACGACAGTGAGCTAGCACCATTTATGCTAACCTGGATTAAGCTTAAGCCTGTTAACCAAAGTGAAGTGACACAAGATCTGGAAAATGGGGTTCACATCACCTTGCCATCAAATTGGTACTGACTGACTACAACTATGGTACTCAAATGGTGGTAGTGTACACGAGGGATTCGGGGGTGGAGACCCACATCTTAGGGATGTGGCAAGCATTGTGGAGGAGAAGGGAATACCTCTAACCCTTCTTATGGAGAGGCAAATATATGCAATGTAACCAAAATGTTAAAAACAAAAAAAACTTTTATTGGGTGGTGGGCAGGTGGGAAGGGGGAAGAGGGGAAAGGTGAATACTTACATAATAGGTGTGGTGTGCACCATCTGGAGGTTGGACATGCTTGTAGCTCTCACACAGAGGGGTGGCAGGGGCAATAGATATAACCCTAAAAATATTTGTACCCCCATAATATGATGAAATAAAAGAAGGAAAAAAAATTCAAAAGCTTCTGCACAGCCAAGGAAACTATCATGAGAGCAAACAGACAACTCACAGAATGGGAAAAAATATTCATATGCTACACATCCAATAAAGGCCTGATAACTAGAATCTGTATAGAACTCAGGGAAAATCATCAAAAAAAAAAAAAAAACCCAAACAATCCCATTAGAAAGTGGGCAAAGGACAAGAGACAAGACAGAAACTTTTCAAAAGAAGACAGACTAATGGCCAATAAACATAAGAAAAAATGCTCAACATCTCAAATGGTCAGGAAAACACAAATCAAAACCACAAGGAGGTATCTCTTAACTCCAATGAGAATGGCTTTCATCAAAAAGCCCCAAAACAATAAATGTTGGCATGGATGTGGAGAGACAGGAACACTCATACACTGCTGGTGGGACTGCAAACTAGTGCAACCTCTGTGGAATGTAATATGGAGATACCTCAAAGAACTATAAGTAGAACTACCATTTGATCCAGCAAATTCACTACTGGGGATCTACCCAAAGGAAAAAAAGACATTCTCGAAAAAAGGCATCTACACTAAAATGTTTATAGCAGCACAATTCACAATTGTAAAGATGAAGAAAGAACCCAAGTGCCCATCACTCCATGAGTGGATTAATAAAATGTAGTATTATGTATACCATGGAGTTTTACTCAGCAACAAAAACAATGGTGATCGAGCACTTCTTGTTTTATCCTGGATAGACCTGGAGCCCGTTCTACTAAGTGAAGTGGCACAAGAAATAAAAACAAGCACCACATGTACTCACCATCGAATGGTATTGACTGATCAACACTATGTGCACATATAGTAGTAACATTCGTTTGGTGTTGGGCAGGTGGGAGGAGGAGGGGATGGGTATATTCACACCTGATGGGTGCAGTGTGCACTGTCAGGGGGATGGACAGGCTTGGAACTCTGACTCAGGTGGGGAAAAGGCAATATAGGTAACTAAACATGTGTATCCCCATAATATGCAGAAAAAAGTTAAATTAAAATAATGAATAAAAAAAGAATTCATTTGTGGAATAAACACCTCATATTCTCTGAATATTCTCTGCACTATTTAGTGTTTCCTTAAATAAAAGGTTGCACTTAACCATAATTTATTTTCAATGTCTGTTAATGTGTTCTGAGGCCAAGTTTGGCAATGAGAGGTAAGGAAAATATGCATAAAACAGAATCCTTGCACACGGTATGGTGATCAATAGACAATATCTTGGCTATTAACAAGAGTAAGCTATATGAATCAATGCAGATGCATTAAGGCAGCACAAATAAACTCAGTGTCATAAGTCTTATTCTGCAGAGACCTTTAGATAAAGATTTGGGTATGGAAGTTCTGTGACTTTGTGCTTAATTTTATTCTCTGTCACTGAGTGGTCTTTGCACATTATAAATGTGAAATTATTTGACTTCTTTTAGCCTCCACTTACTGATGTGCAAAAAGGGTATTATGGGTCTGTATTTTCCTCATAGTATTGTTTTGAAGATTTAATAATAAAAGTAATGTGTCAGGTGAATAATAATTACTCAAAAAATAATCACAAGTATTTCTATCTTATAGTGAATTTTGCTATTAAGAAAGAATAAACATTTTAAAATTTAAATTATATTTAAAGCCTTGGAATGTACACCAATAATTTTCCAATTATCTGCCAATAATCATAATAGGACCTAGTGAAAATTGGTATAATCCAAAAATACTATTCAAAAATTATTCAAACTCCAATCATTTCCATTTGGATTTCAGTTCCTTTAATAGGTCATTAGTCTGAAAACCATAATTTAATGATTTTTGCCACTGGTGATTTGGAAAATAATTCTGTTCCAATTGCATTCTGACTTCCAGGGAGACAACCAGAATGACTCCTGGATCTTTGCCCTGGCCATCCTCCTGAGCAGCACCTTCGTGTACAACAGTGTGGGAACCATAAACCAGCAGGCCATGGACCAACTGCAGTATCCTTTTGTGCTCCTGAACAGCCCAAATTGAGAATAAAGACCAGCCTCAATAAACTAGCTGCCAGACTGTGAGCCTTGGTGAATTAAGCTCAAAAAGAGAAAATATTTTAAAAAATTCAAGTACAGGGGAAAGGTCCCAGATCTTCTACTGAAGAATTGATAGTGAGGTTTACAAACAAAGGCAAAATGAATGATTGCCGATATGTGTACGGATATGGGATGGGGTCCCTCTACATTTGGCCATGTTTCCTTAGATAACTACACAGCTATGTGACAGAGCTGACAGATCAAATCAGGGCAAAATCCTCACCTGATGTGAATGAGGGGGATGATTCAGTTGAATTCGTGAGCTTCTTCCCAGACTTTGTGTGGACACTGAGAGATGTGACCCTGAAGCTGGAGGTGGATGGACAGCCCCTCACACCAGATGAGTACCTGGAGAACTCCTTGAAGTTAAAACAAGGTAACAGGTATTTTTCCTCCCTGTTTCCCAAAGAATTAATAACTTTGTATAGGTGCTTCCTTTCACAGTTTTCTCTTTCTACTCACCAGGCTACTTCTAAGAAGGAATTCTTGTTTAGTATCTGATTTAAAAGAGTCAATATTTATTGCACTATTCCTCTGGTCTCAAGACAAGTTTCTTTTTCTTTTGTTTTTAGTTGACAGATAATAATTGTATGTTTACAGGATGCACAGTGGTATTTCAGTAAGTATATACAGTGTATAATGTTCAAATCAGTGTAATCAACATATCCATCACCTCAAAGGTTTATCATACCTTTGTCTTGTGAACCTTCTAAATCATCCCTTCTAACATCTTGAAAGTATACAATAAATTACAGTTAACCGTATTTACCCAGCAGTGCTTCAGAACATGAGAAATCATTCCTCCTATCTAGCTGCAAACTTTTATCTGTTAACCAACATTTTCCCATTCTCCCTTCCCTGCCAGCCTTCTCACCCTCTAACACTCACAGTACTACTTGCTACTTCCATGAGCTCAAATATTTTTTTCAGCTTCCACATGTGAGTGAGAACAAGGAGTATTTATTTTTCTGGGCCTGCCTTATTTCATTTAACATAGTGTCCTCCAGGCTCATATATGTTGTCATGAATGATAGAATTTTATTATTATCACAGATAAATAGTATTCTATTGTGTATATATGCCACATTTTCTTTATGAATGTGTCTTTTGATGGACATTTAGGTTGACTTGAGAAATTAGCTATTACAATAGTACTGCAATAAACATGGGAGCTCCAGTATCTCTTTGATATGCTAATTTTCTTTCCTTTGGATAAATATCCAGCTGTGAGATCGCTAGTTATGTAGTAGTTCTATTTTCAGTTTTTTCAGAACTGCCATACTAATAGCTGTAATAATTTACATTTCCAACAATAATATATAAGAGTTCCTTTATCTGTGCTTCCTAACTAACATAGGTTTATTTGTTGTTGCTGCTGTTGTTTTCTTTTGAGATAATAGACATTCTAGCTAGGTAAGATGACATTTCATCATGGTTTTCAAGGTTTTTTTTGCATATTCCTAATAATTAGTGATGTTGAGCATTTTTTCATATATTTCTTGACCATTTGTCTTCTTTTGAGAAATATCTGTTGCCCACTTTTTAATGGTATTATTTAGGGGCTTTTTGCTGTTGAGTTGTCTGAGTTCTTTGTATATTCTGAATATTAGTCTTTTATCAGATGAATAGTTTATAAATATGTCTATTCACTCTGTTGTTTCCTTTTCTATGCATATGGTTTTTAGTTTAATATAGCTGCATTTGTCTATGTTTGCATTTGTTGCCTGTGTTTCTGAAGTCTTAGCATAAAAATCTTTGGCTAGACTAATGTACTGAAGTTTTTCCCTATATTTTCTTCTAATACTTTTATAGTTTAGAGTCGTACATTTAAGTCTTAATCCATTGTCAGTTGGTTTTTTTAATAGAATAAAGGACAAAGATCTAGTTTCACTTTTTTGCATATGGAAACTCAGTTCTCGTAGCACCACTTATGGAAGACGGTGTCGTTCTCCCACTGTGCATTCTTGGCATCTTTCTCAAAAATCAGTTGGCTGTAGATATACGTCTTTACTTCTGGGTTCTTTATTCTGTTCTATTAGTCTATGTGTCTGTCTTTTTACCAAAACCATGCTGTTGATTTTCCTATAGCTTTGTAGCGTACTTTGCACCTTTTATTCACATGAATTTATGGAGTACAAGTGTACATTTGTTACATGTGCGGATTGCACAGTGGTAAAGTTAGGGCTTTTAAGGTATCCATCACCCAAATAGCATACATAGTACTCATTAAATAATTTATCATCATCCAACACCCTCTGACCCCTTCAGCCTTCCAAGTCCCCATTTTCTAACATTCCACACTCTACATCCTGTATATACATTATATAGCTCCCACTTGTAAAGAAAAAAAATATGCAGTATTTGCCTTTCTGTGCCTAACTTGTTTCATTTAAGATAATGGCCTCTGCTTCCATCCATGCTGCTGCAAAAACCATGATTTAATTCTTTTTTATGGCTGAATAGTATTCCATTGTGTATATATACCACATTTTGTTTATCTAATCCCTACTGGTGGAAATTATGTTGATTCCATATCTCTGCTGTTGTGAATATTGCTGCAATAAACATACAAGTGCAAGTGTCTTTTTGATAGAATGATTTTTTTCCCCTTTTGGGAAGGTACCTAGTAGTGGGATTGCTGGATGTAATGGTAGGTCTAGTTTTAGTTATCTGAGAAATCTCTATACTGTTTTCCATATCGGTTATATTAATACGAACTTACATTCCCACCAAAACTGTATAAGCATTCCCTTTTCTCCTCATTCCCACCAATGTCTCTTAGTTTTTTGTCATTTTATTAAGAGCAATTCTAACTAGTGTAAGATGATATCTCATTGTGGTTTTAATGTACATTTCTCTTTTGATTGGTAATGTTGAGTATTTTTTCATATGCCTGTTGTCCATTTGTATTTCTTATTATGAAAAATGTCTGTATGTCCTTTTCCCACTTTTTAGTGAGATTCTTTGATTTTGTTGTCATTGTTGAGTTGTTTGAGTTCCTTGTAAATTCTGAATATTAGTCCCCTATGGCATGCATAGTTTGCAAATATTTTCTCCCATTCTACAGGTTGTCTGTTCACTCTGTCCATTCTTTGTTTTGTTGTGCAGAAGGTTTTTAGCTTAATTAAGTTCATTTGTCTAGTTTTGTTTTGTTCCCTGTGCTTTTGAGGTCTTAGCCATGAATTCTTTGCTTAGACCAACGTCCATAAGAGTTTTTCCTAAGCCATATTCCAGTATTTTTATGCTTTCAGGTCTTACATTTAAGTCTTTAATCCATCTTGAGTTGATTTTTGCCTAAAAGGAGATATACACATGCAGTTTCATTCTTGTGCATATGCTATTCAATTTTCCCAGCACCATTTATTGAAAAGGGTGTCCTTTTCCTAGTGGATGCTTTTGTCAGCTTTGTCAAAGATCAATTGGCTGTAAATAAGTGGCTTTATGGCTGGGTTCTCCATTCTGTCCCATTGATCTATGTGTCTATTTTCTAAATCAATACCATGCTGTTTTGATTACTTAGCTTTGTAGTATTAATATAATTTGAGGTCAGTTAATGTGATACATCTAGCTTTTTATTTAGAATTGGTTTGGATATTCAGTGCTTCTGTTTGGTTTCATACAAATTTAAAATATTTTTGTATTTCTATGAAAAAAATCATTCTTATTTTGATAGTGACTACAATAAATCTGTAGATTGCTATGTAGTATGATCATTTTAACAATAATATTCTTCTGATCCATGGTCATGGAATGTCTTTCTATTTGTGTCCTTTTCAATTTCTTTCATAAATGTTTTGCAATGTATTTTGTTTGGTTGGTTTGAGTTTGTTTTGTAGTGGTCTTTCATCTTTTTAAAATTTTTTTTTTAAATTTCAGCGTATTACAGGAGTACAAATGTTTAGGTTACATATATTGCCTTTGCCCACCCTAGTCAGAGCTTCAAGCATGTCTGTCCCCCAGATGGTATGGGTTATACCCATTAGGTGTGAATAGACCCATCCCTTCCTCCCTTCTGCCATCTGCTCAACACCCAATGAATGTTATTACTATATGTGCACTTAGGTGTTGTTCAGTTAATACCAATTGGATGGTGAGTACTTGTGGTGTTTATTTTTCCATTCTCAGGCTACTTCACTTAGTAGAATGGGCTCCAGCTCTACCCAGGTTAATACAAGAGATGCTAGATTATCATTGCTTTTTGTGGCTGAGTAGAACTCCATGGTATACATACACCATATTTTCTTAATCCACTCATGTATTGAGGGGCACTTGGGTTCTAGAAAATTAATTCTACACTTTGTATGGTCTTTCATCTTGGTTAAATTTATTTGTAGCCATTTTATGTTTTATAAACTTCTTCTCTGAACAATGCAGTCATGTGGACTTCAGGTATCTACTTATATGAGGTTCAGAGCCTGGGAGGGGCAGGCTGTGGTCAGGATTTCTGGTGATTGTAGTGAGAAGGTAGACTGGTGGTGATCTCTTGCTTAACTTTTCCCCAAAATGAGAAGTCCCCCATTATTCTGATACAATCCTGGCCAGATTACTTCTTGCTCTTTCTGTACCTCATCAAGTCCCCATCACTTCCCCGCTGAATTCCAGTGTTCCTTCTCAGATGCTCTATTCAGTGTGTTTTGGTCCTTCTTTGTGGAGAAGGCAATTTACTGGCATCTCTAGTCTTCCAAACTCAAAGTTCATTTCCTTTCCCTTTTTCCTGTACTATTAAAGAGTTGCTGTCATCTCTCTCCTTAGATTTTGTAAAGCTGCACATAGCTAAAGAAAATGCAGCAGAAGAAACAGTTATTTGAAGACATTTTAAATAACACATTAACACTGTACTAGATACAACCTCCTTTTATTTTTCTCCAGGGAACAGAGAAAAAGATAAAAATTATAACCTGCCCAGACTCTGCATCCGAAAGTTCTTCCCAAAGAAGAAATGCTTTGTCTTCTACCCACCCACTGAGTGGAGGAAGCTTGGCCAGCTTGAAACACTACAGGATGATGAGCTGGATTCTGATTTTGTGCAACAAGTGGCAGAATTCTGTTGCTACACCTTCATCCATTCCAAGACTAAAACTCTTCCTGGAGGCCTCAAGGTCAATGGACCTCGTGAGTCCCTTTCCCAGTCTTTCCACTCATTGTTCAGACTAAGAGAGGATGGAATAACATTCACTTATTTTCAGCTTTGAAAAATGCTGGGTCTACTGGTATAATTTGTGTAATTCTAACAATATCAACAAATATCTGATGCTTAGCTGTTCTAGCAAGTGTTACAGCAAGTGTTAACAGCAACTGACCAGCGAAAGAACCAAACGGCACACAGAGGGTCAGAGAATCAGCCTTTCTTCCGCCAGCAGGCTCAGAAGGGCATGCCACCAAATTCTGAGCACTGCTTCCTTGTTCTCCTCCAGTTTTATACACTTCTTGGGGTTACACACAACCAATCAACTATGAGTATGAAGAGTTAGCCAATCAGCGGTGGGATTCAAAAAGCATCCAATCAGCAGCAATCTTTACATAACCAATCAACTACGAGCATGTTATCCAATTAGCAGTGAGTTCAGCCATGGGGCCCAGGGTGGGGGTTTTTCCCTGTCATTTCCCCCTTTTGATGCCCTTATCAGTTTACACAGTGGCATCAACCTCTCTATGAATCTAATAACTGCATTGAGCAAGCAGGTCCCATGGTTACCATCAGAAGGATAGAGGTCTGGCTAGGGGCAATAGCTAAATTAAAGCCCCAAGCCTGTTCTTACTCCTGTTTTCTCTTGTAGATGCTTTCTTTTAGCCCTTTGACTTTGGTAGTTACAATTCTTGATTGGTTTATATAGTAACAGCATTCTTCCCCCAGGAACACACTAGTCCTCACCTTTTCAAGTGCCCAACTATTCTGCAGGGTTTGCCAGTGAGTCTAGCTGACTCTGGAGGGATAGCAAGTAGTCCTATCCCAGCTGCTATCCCTCCCCCCAGTAGGGCTCGTTTGCTCTGGACATGGCTTGAGGGGCAGTTGGTTGTGTCTATTGGAGCAGGGGCCCAGAAATCCCCAACCAAGAACAACACAGAGTCACCCCATGTAGACCCAGAAGAGGATTATCAAGAAGCAAGTTAGTCCAGTCTCTTGGAGTGGAGGCCCTGAGTCCAATTCCCAAGAGGACTGTCAGTATTCCTATAAGAGTCCAGGCCAATGGTCCCATTCAGTCCAGCCAGATTCAGAGGCAATCCATCTTAGGGGGCAGGCATCTGAGCCGGATCTTCAGTGGGTCCTGTTGACTTTGCTGCACTGTCCAATGTCTAGTCACATCATCTGTCTCAGCTCATTTCCCGTGGATCCATGAATAGTGGATTCACGGGGTGACACCTTCAACTTTAACAGCTGTGGGGGTAACTAGTATCACAGTATAGGGTCCCTTCCAGGTGGCCTCTAGGGGTTCCTTCTTCCAATCCTTTACCTAGACCAGGTCCCTGGATTGATGGGGTGGACTGGGAGTCCCATTCCAATTTGGTTTCTCTCTTGAACAGTCTGGTGTATAGTGGCCATGCTTTTAGCTAAGGCCTAGAGCTGTCGGTCTAGGTTTAATTCTCCCAGCTGCCTAGTGTCCCCTCTTAGGCATGGGGGGGGGTGACCTGCCATATAGGATCTCAAAGGGTGAGTACCCAGTGGGGCGAGGGGTGCATCTTACATGCAGTAAGGTGATGCTTGACATATCTACCCAGGGTAGTTGTGTCTCTTGACAGAATTTGGCCAACATAACCTTGAGGGTTCAGTTCATGCACTCCACTTTCCCTGAGCTTTGCACCTTATAGGCCGTGTGTAACCTCCACTGAGTACTTAATGCCTTGGAGAGGATCTGTGTAACTTCTGCAGTGAAGTTGTGTCCATTATCACTGCCGATGGAGAGTGGCAAGTCATACTGGGGGATGACCTCTCTCAGCAAGAGCTTCACTACTTCTCTGGCCTTCTCAGTTCGAGTGGGGACAGCCTCAACCCAACCTGAGAAAGTACATATCATAACCAGCAAGTACTTGTATCCCCTGCTTGGTTTGATTTCCATGAAATCCACTTCCACATCCTCGAATGGGGACACCCCAGTGTGCTGAATTCCTGGGGCTGGCCTTGGTATAGCCACTGCGTTGTTCCTGGCACAGGTCTGGCACCAGGTGCTAACTGTCATTGCCACTGAGGAGAGTTTGGCTATATAATAGTATTGGGCAAGCAGCTGGGTGAGGGCTGTTTTTCCCATATGAGTCAGATTATGATACACAATGGGATAGGCCAGCTTTCCAGGGATGAAGACGGTTTGGTTGGGCAACTGCCATCTGCATTTTTCCTGGCCTGTTCCTGTTCTGCCCATCGGTCTTCCTCTGGCATATACCTGGGTTTCTCTGGCCACTCAGGGGCCAGGAGGATCTGGCATTTGGTGGTGGGATCCTCTGGTTGTCCCATACTGGCCGCCTATCTTGCTGCCTAGACTGCCAGACAATTACCATTGGTGACTAAGTCTGTGCCCCCTACAATGGATGACTGCAATCTCCTTCAGTGCCCGCACTGCTTCCAAAAGGTGAAGAAATTCTTCCTTATTCTTGATTTCTTTTCCATCCGTGGTCACTAGCCTTCTCTCCTTGTAGATTGCCCCATCTACATGCACCATAGAGAAGGCATATTTGGAGTCTGTATATGCATTGGCCCTTTTGTCTTGGGCATACCTGAGGGCTTGGATGAGTGCCCGTAACTCTGCCCTCTGGGCTAACCATCCCTGAGGCAGAGGAGCTGACATGATGACGTCGCTCTCTGTGGTGACTGTGCAGATAGCCAACTGTTTGCCATTCTGGATATAGCTGCTGCTGTCCGTGTAGAGCTCCAGGTTGGGCACTGCCAATGGACTATCTTTCAAGTCTGGCTGGCTTGCATAGACTTCCTCCACAGCCTTGGCATAGTCATGGTCTGGGGTCCCTGGCCCAGTAGGAAGGAAGGTGGCAGGGTTTAAGGTCTGCACAGTCTCGATGGAGACTCGTGGGTTTTCACACAGCAGTCCATGGTACTGTGCCAGCCAACTGCTAGAAAGCCATCATTGCCTCAATGTGTTCATCAAAGCCACTACTGCCTGCAGGACCTGCACACAGATATTTTGCCCAAGTGTAAGCTTGTCTGCCTCCTTGATTAGCAAGATGGTTGCTGCCAGTTCTCGCAGACAAGGCAGCCATCCCAACGCTACCAAGTCCAGCTGTTTGGACAGATAAGCTACTGGCCTCTTCCAGGGGCCCACAGTCTGTGTCAGTACGCCCGTAGCTACCTGCTTCTTCTAGTGCATGGACAGGTTGAAGTTCTTGGTGAGGTCTGGCAAGCCCAAGTGGGGGCCTTCTTGAGCAACTCATTTAATTCTTGAAAAGCCTCCTCCTGGCTTTCAGTCCATTCTAGTTTCCCACTATCAGGACCCCATAATGCCTCATATAACAGCTTAGCTTTCAGGGAGAAACCTGGTGTCTATATGCGACAGAATCCTGCCATCCAAAGAACTCCCACAGCTGCCTCCACTTTGTCGGCCTTGGGATGGTGCAGATGGCATGCTTGCACTCATGTCCCAGTGTGTGGCACCCGTGGGTGATGTGGAAGCCAAGATACTTGACCTGCTGTCTGCAAATCTGTGCCTTTTTCCAGGAAACCTTATATCCTTTTTCTGTGAGTAGCTGCAAGAGACAGCGGGTCCCTTGTTCACAGTCCTCCTTAGTTATTTCCACTAAGAGGAGGTTATCAATGTATTGCAGCAGTGCACAGCAAGTCTCTTCTCATGGGAAGGCATCTAGGTCTGTAGCCATGGCTTCCCCAAACAGGGTTGGTGAATTCTTGAACCCTTGTGGCAGCTGCGTCCAGGTGAGATGGGTCTTTCTTCCTGTCTGGGAGTCTTCCCATTCAAACGTCAACAGTAGTTGGCTCATTGGAGCTAGTCACAGGCAAAAGAATGCATCTTTTAGGTCTAGGCAGGAGAACCAGGCAGCGTTAGGTGGGATGAATCCCAGGAGGGTGTATGGGTTCAGGACCCCCGGGTGGAGGATCACCATGGCCTCATTGACAGGTGCAGGTCCTGGACAGGGCAATACCCTCCTCCATTTGGCTTCTTGATAGGCAGGAGTGGTGTGTTCCAAGAAGACTGGCACTCTACCAAGATCCCTTCCTGCTTAAGCATCTCAATGTATTCCCATATCCCTTTTCGTGCCTCCTTGGAGAGGGAGTACTGCCATCTCCTGACTGGCTGGGCACCAGGCTGCACCTCAATCACTAAAGGGGCATGCTGGTGTGCAAGGCAGGGGGGGGGGCAGTTATCTTCTGCCCAAACCAGAGGGAAACCTTGCCAGAATTCAGTGGGATTTTGCTCCTCTGTGGCCTCCTCATATAACTTCCACTCCACCTCTCATGGCAGGGTGACTGCTGTTACAAGGGCTGTCCCTGGGGTGCCTAGCCTGAGACTTGCAGCTCCTTCAGGATGGAAGGTGATCTGTGCCCCAAGTTTGCTCAGCAAGTCCCATCCCAAGAGAGGTACCAGACAGTCTAGCATGTAGAGGAACTCGTGCCTTATCTGATGGCCCCCATTTGGCATACCCGGGAATGGCAGAAGGGTCTGGCTACCCGAGTCCTGGTAGCTCTGACTATAGTTGTTTAGCATTTTGTAAGCGGGGCTATGAGGGTTGCCACAACTGAGTGTTCTGCTCCAGTGTCCACCATGAATGTCATTTGTTGGTCCCCTACTTTCATCTTGACCATAGGTTCTTGACAGCCAAGATTGAAGGTTGGCCCAACTCGGAGTCAATGCCAGCGAGCCCCACTAGCTCTTGGGCTTCCAGTTTCTGTTGGATAGTCCCGAACAGGGCCCTCCCTTGAGACAGGTGACTTGTCTTGTTGGGGCATTCATTCTTCCAGTGGCCGAAACCCTCGCAATTGGTGCACTGGTCTTTTGCCAGAGGTGCCCTTCCTCTGGTTCCCCCCTTTCATGGGGGTCTGGGCCGCTTAGATAGGTCAGCTCTTCCGAGGGCAGCGGTCAGGATGGTGGCCTTTTTCTTCATCCTCTGATCTTTCTCCCTCTGAGCAGTCTGGTCCCCATTGACGTACACCTTCTGGGCCACCTCCATTAGCTGTGTGATGCTCATGCCTGTGAATCCTTCGAGTTTCTGCAGCTTCCTCTGGATGTCGGAGGCCGATTGCCTGATGAACACTGCATTCACCTTTCTCTGGTTTTTGGCTGCCTCTGGGTCAAAAGATATGTATATTCGGTATGCCTCACTAGAAGTCATTGGGTGACTCCTCTGGCTTCTGGGTAATTAGGGCAACCTTGTTCATGTTGGTCAGCTTTTTGGCCCCTTCCCTCACTCCTTGGAGAAGAGCCTCTTGGTACTGCTAGAGTGCCACTTGTCCTTCTGGTGCATTGAAACCCCACTCTAGGTTGGTCTCGGGCACCGCTCGCAATGCCCATTGTTCCACATCCAGGGTGCCTGCTAGCGCCCGTTCCTGCAGCCACTTCCAAGTTCCAGTCATAATCCGATGCCATTCTTCGGTACTGAAGAAGGTCAGCAGTAGTTGCCGGCAATCTTCTCACATGGGACAGTGAGTCTGGAAGATAGATTCCAGGAGGTCGATGAGGGCCTGCAGTTTCTCTGAGTAGGATGGAGTATGGTGTTTCCAATTCAATAGGTTGGTGGTGGAGAAAGGCTGATAATACAGGGCAGGTTGCCCCGGATGGATGGTTCTGTCATCCCGAACCTGCGGCAGACTTCACGCAGAGGCATCTGGAAGCCCGGGGTAAGGGATTGGGGAGACCGCAATCGGCAGACAAGTGGTGGAGATGCTGGTGGTGGAGAAACCGATTGTGGCGGGGTGACGGATGCAGGCAGGGGTGCCCAGGAAGGTGGTGTGACTTGTGTGTTGTAAGACAGTGGTAGGACCTCGATTGGGTCTCCTTGATGTATCAGCTCTGCCTTGAGATTGCAGACCCTCCAAGCCGCTAGAACCCTACTCTGTCCCTAGTCAGCACAGAACCAAACCCAAAGGGGCATAGTGTAGGCTATCTTCAGCCATGAATCTATGTATGGGAATCTATGTATGGGTGACCTGGAGTCCTAGTCACCACTCTTTATACTGAATGTATGAAATTTATCAGCATGCACCTTAGAACTGTTGGCTTGGATTTGGACCCTCCCATGTTTTAACTGGTTTCACCTGTGCTCCCATTCCCTACACCACCGACAACACTCCTTTTCTGACCCTTGCCGCTGCCCAGACTCTAGTCCCTGCTCTGGCTTCTACCCTTTCTCTTTCGTCACAAGACAGACAAGTGGTAGGGGCTTCTTTCATATGTCCACCTGGCTGCGTCCCTAGCGGGAACTTAGGCACATCTTGGCTAAGGCATACCCATACCAGAGCCCAGACCTGGTCACTCCCTATCACGGGGAGTGAATTGCCATTATGCCTTACGATGTTGCCATAGAACCGCAGGTTAGGACCCACTCAAACCCTGTAGCCGAAGCCCTGCGGCCACAGACACAATAACCACAAACAGTCACTGAGTTCCTTCCACTCACACATTCACACAGAGGTTACACCATCCCTCTCCTGGGGGGTCCCTGTCATTAGGAGGTGATCAAGCTCCTCCTCCCTGACGGGCCTACCCTTAAGAGGTGATCAGGCTCCTCTTCCATATCGCTGACAGGCCTATCTTGGGCGGGTCCCAGGACCTTACCTTGTCCAACATCCTGGCCTTGGTCTGAATGGTCCTTTCCTCTGGAGTGTCCAGGTGAGTTCGAGGCCCTGCAGCCAGTGGTAGCTCCTGAGAAGGAAGGATTCCCACAAATGGTGGTTCAGTGCAAGCTCGTCTCAATTATAGAGGTCCTGCTGTCCACTGTGCTCCCGGTGGCTTCAAGGGGCTACCGTGGTTGGCTTTCCTGGTGAGAGAGCCAAATGTTCCAGCAAGTGTTACAGCAAGTGTTAGAGCAAGTATTAACAGCAACTGACCAGGGAAAGAACCAAGCAGCACACAGAGGGTCACAGAATCAGCCTTTATTCCACCAGCAGGCTCAGAGGGGCATGCCACCAAATGCTGAGCACCGATTCCTTGTTCTCCTCCAGTTTTATACACTTCTTGGGGTTAAACAACCAATCAATTATGAGCATGAGGAGTTATCCAAACAGTGGTGGGATTCAAAAAGCATCCAATCAGCAGCAAGCTTTACATAACAAATCAACTACAAGCATGTTGTCCAATCAGCAATGAGTTTATCCATGGGGGCCCGGAGTGGGGGTTTTTCCCTGTCATAACATTAGTCAAAGCTTTGAGGTGGGAAGAGATAGTGAAGGCCAGGGTAAAGAATCTGTATCCTTAATATTGTCCCAGTGGGATGGACTTTCTCAGTGCAATTAGATAGCCACTAGACACAAGTGTTGCCATTTAAGTTTAAACATTAATTAATTAAAATTTAAGGAAATTGAAAATTCAGATCACATAGCATTCTTTCAAGGGCTCCAGAGCTACATATAGTTAGTGGCTTCCATAATGGACAGTGTGGACATAGAACATTTTATTTATCCCAGAATGTTCTATGGAATAAAACTGAGTTAGAATGAATCAAATGAAGGATGCCATCTGACTGGGATGGCACTCTTTGGTCTGCCCATATGGATTAAAGGCTAACCAGGGGGCATGATACAGAAGTCAGATGATACAGGCATAAATGAGAGATATGGTTCCCGTGCTAATGGTGCTTAGGGCTCAGGTAGATACAAGTACTCACGCATTTCACTATACAGTACAGAAATTTCACCTATGCTGCGCATAGATGGCATCTGAATGAATATGTTGTCAAGTACAAGGTTCTGTTTCAACAGGTCTGAGGCAAGGTCTGACAATCTGTATTTGTATCAGACTCTTCCCGATGACGCTCATGACATTAATGATGCCAGTACCCAAAAATAAACAAGCTCAGAATTAAACAAAAATAGAGACCTTCCTTCACCCTACATACAACAAACATCACCATATGTTCTGTATTTTTAGGTCTACAGAGCCTTGTGCTGACCTACGTCAGTGCCATCAACAGTGGGGATCTGCCCTGCATGGAGAACGCACTCCTGGCCTTGGCCCAGAGAGAGAACTCAGCCGCAGTGCAAAAGGCCATTGCCCACTACAACCAGCAGATGGAGAAGGTGCAGCTGCCCACAGAGACCCTCCAGGAGCTGCTGGACCTGCACAGGGCCAGTGAGAGGGAGGCCATTGAAATGTTCATCAGGAGTTCATTCAAAGATGTAGACCACCTATTTCAAATGGAATTAGCGGTATTTTTTTCACTTAAGTATATATGGATTAGTGTTCTGGAAGCCAAAGTACTATCAGGAAATAAAACGAGTATTTATTCTGATACAAGAAATTCTTACTAGATTTTCAAATGGTGACAACTATGTATTTGTAATCATGATAATTAGAAGGACCAATTTTATTTTTACAGACTCCAAATTTTAAAATATTTTTATTAATAAATATGTCGACCTTTTATTGCATATAACTACAACCAGAGCTTCTACTCAAATTACATGCCTATTATCATTGGGTTTATCTGCAAACATACTAACCAAAAGAAATGAAATTTACAACGTTAGTTCTTTTCAGCAGACTTATGCTTTACATTGTGCCATTTATAGCAATGATCAGTCCCATTGGAAAACCAGCAAGTGTCCCTGTAAAAGTTCCCATAGAGCCCAAAATCTCTGCTCTAAATATCACACCGAAAGGGAAGGGGACTTCAGAAGAGCATCCAAGTAAAGAGAAAAGGCACAGTTCTCATAATGGCCAATAAGATTTGGGGAGACATAGAGTTTTTTGAGAAGCATTTCCAGAAATTCTAAGGCCTTACTAACATCTTTTTCTGGTTATATTTTTGCTTTTGTATTTTTACAATGAAGTGTCAACTAGAGAAAAGGTGGAAAGACTTTTGTAAACAGAATCAGGAAGCATCATCAGATCGTTGCCAGGCTTTAATTCAGCGTATTTTCAGTCCTCTGGAAGAAGATGTGAGCCAGGGGATTTATTCAAAGCCGGGGGGCTATCATCTCTTCATTCAGAAGACACAAAAGCTGAAGGAAAAGTACCTTGAGGAACCGAGGAAAGGGACACAGGTAACCAAAATTTAGCTGTGTGTTCTGGGAGTTGCTAAGATACCTCTTTCAAACACCCATATGACCAAGCATAGTAACATACCCATGTGCTTTTTGACTACACAGCACTTATGTTTTTATTCAATAAACAGGTACAAGGAGCCTCTTAGACCACATATGTTCTAGGTTACATCAAAGACAGTACACTCAACTAATATTTGAGGTATCAATTGAATTTTCAGATTAATCATTAGGGTACCACTCTATTACAACTGGACATTTGATGCTTCCAAGGCCAGAAGCCAGTAAGTGCTGCTTAGGTAGAAACACTAACTTATCAGTGTAGGCTTCACACTGGCTGTAAGGAGAGCCTGGATCCAAAATTAAAAACAATGTCATCCTCTCTTTCTCTGTTTGTCACTTCCTCTTATCCCCACAATTCCTTCCATGCTTCTTCCACCTCCATCTCTCTGCTTACTCCACAACTTCATGCTCCAGCAACCTGAGCCCACATGGAACCACAACACCCATAGCTCCAGACTTAGAGTCCTCAATCCAAACCAGCATGGAATCTCTACTTCACAGTATCTATATCACCCCCCTTAAAAAGGACGCTGCTGAGTGGGGTGCTCTATTGCCCAGCTTAGCCTGTGCCTGCCCCTGTGACTGGGAGAGCAGGGCCAGGAGGACCAATTCCCTGGGGAAAACATGGTGGGCACACAAACAGGAACATTTGTGCACAGCCATTTCCTAATGCTAACTCTGCTCTCTGGAATCTAAGGCTGAAGAGGTTCTGGGGACGTACTTCAGCTCCAAGCAGTCTATGATTAATGCAATTCTAAAGACAGATGAGGCTCTCACAAACAAGGAAAGAGAGATTGAAGGTAAGGAGTAAGCCAAAAGACTTGATATGCACAAAAGGTCTTAAAAGTTTAAATGTTTTTCCAAGTAAAACTGTGATGATTAAACTGGAACAATAACCATAAAATAATCATAGCTCTTTAAGTCATTCTGAGAGTGGCATATGCCATCAATTACATCATAGTTACCCCTACAGAAAAATGTTTCCAGGAAATTTCTGCTATCAAATGCAACAATAACAAGTAAATGTAGAAGGAAGAAGGAAATTCTGTGTCTCGCGAGTCTGGACTACTATAACAGAATACCATAAACAGGTAGCTAAAGCAACCAAAATTTATATCACACAGTGTGTAGGCTGGCAGTCTGATATCAGGCTGCCAGCACCGTCCAGTTCTTCCTGAGGCCCTCTTTGCAGTTTACAGATGGCTGCTTTCTCACTGTGTCCTCACGTGGCAGAAAGAGCAAACTCTGGTCTTGTCAAGTTCTCATGAGAACACTATTCCCATTATGGGAGATCTACTCTCATGGTCTCATGTAAATCTAATTAGCTCACCAACGCAAACCTATATAAATTTTCTCTTTTTTCATTTTCCTCAGTGGAACGTAGAAAAGCTGAATCTGCAAGGGCTATTGCAAAAAAGTTAGAGGAAATGCAAAAGATAAACGAGCAGATGATGGAACGGAAAGAAAAGAGTTATCAGGACCACATGAAACAATTGACTGAGAAGATGGAGAGGGACAGGGCCCAGTTGCTGGAAGAGCAAGAGAGGACTGTGGCTCTTAAGCTTCAGGTATCCAATTGTGCCATTTCTTTTATCTTTCACTGTACATAATTAAAAGCACAGTGTAGAGCTTAGAGCATGTAGAAAAAGGAATATTCTAGCCCATATACTAGTAGGCTTTTCATTCCCTTATTTTTTTGATACCTGGTCATCTCTAATTACTACATGCCATTTACTTACAGAATAAAACCCCATGAAATCCACTTTGTTAAGTCACTACTAAACAGTAGCTATTCACTGCCCATTTTTGCATACATATTTTATAGGCACTCTGTAATCAATTTTTGGCTAATGGAACAGGAACTATTTTATATTCATTTTTTAAATAAGAAAATTATAATTTAATGAGTTTTAGTAAATTTTCTAAATCATAGCACACGGCAATGTGTATGGCCTGGGAAATAGTGAATTTTTTTCCATATCTGTTAGGACTTTATCTCTGGAAGCACCTTAATGAATAGGAAGACTAATAACCACTTAGCACATTGTGTAAGCATCTAGGTTTATTCCAGAGTTTATGTGTGTCCTGGAATGTGTGGGAGCTTTGAAACCATATGGTGAGTCAGACTGGGAGTTAGCAAAGTCTCTGGGCACAGTTGAGCATCAATCTTGCCAGTGGTCAAACTTATTCCAGGACCTTCCTGTTCCTTGGCTCTACCTGGAGTCTATGTTGAGTCTGGATGTCAGCCCAGTGATGTGCTATGGGCCACACCAATCTTTGATCTCCTCGGTATCAGTATTTCCTCATACTGGTGTCACTGAAATTTGGGAGCTCCTTTAGAATTCCCTCATCAGACAGTTTCTTTGATTATGATATTCACGTAGAAAATCTTCCTTTCAATTTCAAGCATTTTTCTGGAATATGTATATGAAAAATCCACATTCTATAATTGATAGTTGATAAAAACAAAACATTGGCAATTTAGATTGAATAACTATGTTCAATGTGGAATCAAAAATCTAGAGATGGAATTCTGTGGCAAAAATATTTTAGAAATTATAAATAGGAAAAATATATTCTTAATCCAGAGAAGAATAAAACAAGAAAAATTGTAGCAAGGAAAGACGACCCTAGAGAGACATAAAGGGATTTTAGGAGGACAGAATTGAAGAAAAATGTCAAAGCTCTTGAAGAAGTATTGCAAGTACTAAAAGAACAATTAACATAAATATTAGGTAACAAATTTAGTAATCTTATTGTTCTGTACTAAGTTCAGTATTTCTTTACCTCTTAGGAACAGGTACAGCTACTCAAAGAGGGATTCCAGGAAGAGAGCCGAAGACTTCAGGAAGAGATCAAGAATGTGGAGAATAGATACAAAGAAACAAGTATTATCATCTATTTAATAGCTATAATATAGAAATCTAGAGAATAGGAGTTTCTTCTACTACACCCTCTTGTCAAGATACAGGTTCAAAGACCATCTCTAGAAGATCAGACAACTGCTACTATTCTTGAACATGAATTCATGACACTTGCATGTTCACAAAGTCACAAAGTCTACAAAGATGAAGCTTACTCCTGAAAGCAGTCTGTTACCAATAACTAAATCTATTTATTTCATACTCACTGATATTGCTTTGGCCAATATGATCTTTTACTGGATCATATATTTAACATCATTCACATTTTCTGCTTTGTATATAGTAAAGTGTGTAATTTGGGTAAATTTTACTATGAGGAGCTATCAGACAGGCTTCTAATCAGGTAGACTTTTAAATTATTCACCTATACAATACTTTTAGACTCTTAATCCTCATGGACTTACTGAATGATTTACATGTATCCCGGGATGATGATGGAGCTTTGAGAACATATAGTAAGTGGAAGTAGGGGTTAACAGTTTTTGAACAAAGTTGAGTATCACACCTCCCAGTGGTCAAAGGGCAAGTGCCTGCTGCATTTAGAAGGAAGTCCTTGTCAGCAATCAATGTCAGTGCAATGAAGCTACCTTCAGTGTGAGTGTACAGTTAACCACTGGCTGGAGGCTGCATGGTCTGTTGGAAAAGGTGGGACACCTGGACACTGAATGCAGGAAGAGCTTACATCAAGGAAAGGGAGACATAAGTGGAGGCTCAACCATGTTTACAGAAGCTTTTTGAGTAATTCATGCTAATTTCCAGTTCTAGGTCACCTCAGATCTTTAAACTCAAGCAAGAACAACAAAGATGTGTCTTCACTCTTAAAGAAATGTCTGAGAGTGGCATAATAAGTCAACAGCATTATGGCTACTCCATGGAAATACTGACCCAGGGAATTTCCTCTATCAAATAGCAACATAACTAATAAGTCTGAGGAAGAAAGAGGCAACACAGTACTCCTACATATTGTTTTTTCTTTTCCTCCTCAGTGAACCTTATGAAAGCTCAATCTGCAGAGAGTACAGCAAAAATTGAGAACATGCAAAGAAAGTATGAGCAGATGATGGAACAGAAAGAGAAGAATCATCAGGAAAATGTGACACGTTTGGCTGAGCAATTAGAAAGAGATAGAGCCAATATAATGGCAGAACAAGAAAGGACTCTGACTCGTAAACTTCAGGTATTTAGTTGTGTCATCTGAATTTTCTCATCCAATGGCCAGGGATCAGAGACAGTGATTACAGGTCAGCACACGTCTTCGTCCAGATAAAGGTGAAAGCCAGACGCTACTACAGTCTTCATTCCCTTTGTGTTTCTATCAGTGTCAAGGCCTTTTACAAACAGACTATGCTCCTCATATTCTGTATTATTATATCACTCAATATACAGTAGCGAATAATTACCAAGCCCTACATAAACTCTTCATGAAGTGATTTATTTATATGCATTACATATTTCCATCCTCATCTAACGGCATAAGAGAAATTCTGTTGTTCTTTTACAAGTAGGAAAACTATAATTTCAGTAGAAATAAGGTAGTGTGCTGTGTCATATGTCATAGAAGAAGATCCATCCTGTCTTTTCTAGCTAGTGGAGTGGTCCATGATTTGTTATTATCATACCTACTATGACTTTATCTCTGTGATCACATTGATGATTAGAAAGACTTTCTAACCATGGCATCACTTACACACACTAGCAAGTACCCATGCTGCCATTAATAGCACCTTCCCATTCTCCAGACACTATTTCAAATCTATGAATTGTCTGACTATCAGACCAGAAATGCACTCTGGACACCAGTAGTCCTGATCTCCTCAACTGATTCTTTCTTATTATGCCCACCAAAAGTTTGCAGGCTTATACTGAATGTCACCATCAGACATTTCCCCTGCCTCTCAGCATCATATGTAAAACTTAGGAATCTTCCCATTGACTATGATTCTGTAACAAATATTCATTTGTGTGAAAATCCACATTATATAGAGTGAAAGTTACAGGGGAAAAAAGTGTGACAATTATACACATTATTGTGTTAAATGTTAGTTCAAAAATCCCATGGAGGAATTCTAGAGAAATAATATTTCAGAGACTATATGAATAAAAGACATCTGAAGATATAGAAGTCCTAGAAAAATTAAAAACCAGGATAGAATCCTTAAGAGAGACTGACATAATGGAAGTTAAAAGAGGAAGAAAGTCAAGACATAATATCCAAATCTATCAGTAGATTAATTTACAGAATAAACAGAAAGCTGATTTGGTAATTATTGAACAGTTTGTAAAATTTATTTTATGCCAACCTACGTTAATTATTCTCTTTTTCTCTTTAGGAACAAGAACGACATCTCGAGGATGAAATTAGAGAAGAGAGAAGAAAACATCAGAAAGAAATCCAGGATATGGAGATGAGAAACATAGAAATGAACCTGTCATGTATTATGATCTAAAAATACAAGATCAAAACTTTCCTATTACACAGCCTGTGACCAGAGCACAAGTGCAATGATCAATTTCCAAGATCCAAACAGTTGCCACTGAAATTGAATACATGATCACTGCACTTACATTGATCCATAAATTTACCAAAAATGAAGTTGAAATGGGAAGGAAATGAGCTACCTACAAATGCTATTCATTCATGCTTATTATAATAATGATTTGAATGATCTTTACTAGATACTATATATCAAGTCATGCACATTTCCTCTGGAGAGATTATATTAATAAATTATATTATAAGTATTCCTTTTATAATAGAGAGATATCAGACAGGTAATGTTTAAGGAAGACTTTTTCTTCCTCATCCACACCACACTTCTAGACACCCTCAGCCCCATGCTCTTATTTAAGGGTTTATTTGTGTCCTTAGATGAATATTGTGAACATAGAGGAAATTAGATGTAAAGTGAATAAGAATGTTCCATCACTGCTAAGTGGCAAAAAAGTTACATTTATTCTAAAATTAAAGGGAGACTTTTATTGCCCATGACTGTCTAAGACAGCTGGCTGTGGTTTAGTGTTTAGACAGTGGACAATTTACAACACCATGGAAGCTTGATGGTCTATAGGCAGTTATGGTTCTCCTGGGCCCTGCCGAGGATGTGCTCTTTGCTGTGAAGAGTGGATATATAATTAGAGGCTCAAACTGCTCTGTTGGCAAGAGCTCACTGGTTAATTACTGCCCTACCCTCAGTCCTGGGTTGGATCTTTAAACTAAAGCAAGAATAGTAAAGATGTTTCTTCACTGCTAAACCCATATCAGAGTGTGGCAAAATATTGAGGGGCAATAAATGCCCCAATAATTGCCCAAAGAATTATTGTCCCAGGAATTTCCTCTAAGCAGTAGCAACATAGTAAGTAAGTTTGAGGAAGAAAGAGGCAACAGATTAATCCTACAAAATGTTTTTCTTTCTTTTCATCCTTAGTGAAACAGGCAAAGCATAAAGCAAAAATTTTAGAGGAAGACCAAAGAGAGTTTGAGCGGATGATGGAACGGAAACAGAATAGTCATCAGGAACATGTAAGACAACTGACTGAAATGATGAAGAGGGACACGGCCCAGTGGGTGGCAGAGCATAAAAGGTCTACAGCTCGTAAACTTGAGGTATCTAATTGTGTCATCTCGATTTTCTCATCCAATGACCAGGGATCAAAGCCACTGATTACAAGTTAGCATACTTCTTGGTCCAGATAAAGAAAGGCACTTTGTAGCCAGACACTGAACTACAGTTTTAGTTCCTTTCATGTTTTTATCAATCTCTATCTGTGGTTGCTGAAGGCCTTTTACAAGCAGACTATGTGCCACAGAGCCTGCACTGTTATTTGCTATAACAGGGGTAAATAATTGCCAAGTCCTACACAAAAGTGCATTACATATTTGCAATCTCATCTCATATTTGCATCTCATCATTTGCAATCTCATGGCACAAGATCTATTCCATTATCCTTTTTCAAATGAGAAAATTGTAATTTCACAAGAAAGTAGACATTGTTCTGGGATATAACTCATTGGGAAAGTATCTAGCTTTTATGTCCTACATAGGGAGATCCACAGTGATTTTGTTTTTGTCATATTTTATGTCTTTATATCTGTAAGCATATGCCCTATCCAAGTCTCTGTTGAGTCTGGATGTTGGTCCAGAAATGTTCTATGAGTGCCTGCATTCCCAGAACTCCTCAACTTTTTTCTCTTACTACTCCCACCAAAATTTTGGAGGCTTATACAGCATTACCTAATTGGATATCGCTCCTGAATCTGAGCATCATGTAGAAATCTTCCTAGTGAATCTCTACTATCCTATTGAAATTCATGTAAATATGTATCTATATATATATACACATTTTATATAAATATATACATAAAATATCTACATTATATGATTAAGAGTTAAGATGATTTAAAAAAAATGATAGACTTCAGAGAATGATTTGCTGAATATGGGTTAAAAGAGCCCCAGATAGATTGACGAACAATAATATCGCAGGGAACATAGACAAAACATTTCTGAAGTCAAAGAAGGCACAGAGAAATTAATACCAGGCATAATTAAGAAACAAAAAGGGAACTTATTTTACAATTAATGAACACGTTTAATAATCTTATTTTATTCTACACAAGTTTTAGTCTGTACTTTCCCTTTTTAGAATCTGGAAGCACGTTTCGATGAGATAATCAAGGAAACGAAAAATAAACATCAGCAAGAAATACAGAGTATCTTAAAGAAAAAAGAAGATTCTCAATTATCATATTTTTTTTCTTATTTTTTTTCTTTTATTAAATCAATCAATTGAATGTTTTAATTTACTAACATGATATTTAAGGTAGTTACAAAAACTCTAAAAATAAAATTCACAGTGATCCTTTCATATTTGATTTAATGTATCTAGGAAGTATTACCAAAAGAATAATTTTAATATTGAATAAATATTAAACATAAATATTCATTATATAATATAATAATGTAAATATTGAATAAATTTGTTATTGCTTTTAAATTCAATTGAAATGGTTACCTTTTTATGTTACAGTAACATTTCCAGGGCCATTCTTTTTTTTTTTTTCTACTAAAGGACTAGTTCATTTATTTTTATATATGAATGAAGGGTATCAAATTGGTATGGTATCTAAATTATACTGGATATGTTTAAAAGTGATATAACAGTTATTTTAAAATAATATTTACATGACGCCAGAAAGTACATACTTTAGCAACTATTAACTTCCCATGAAAAATTTTAGGTATCAACTTAGATGTGTGAGGAAATACATGATTTTTCAAAATACTTTGGAGGTACATGAGCAGAATAGTTTAGGGGCGACTGCTGTAAAACACTTTTTCCACATAAGGTTGAGGGACCACTTATAGAATCTCCTTAGGAAGAGTGGCCAGTTTTTAAGGCCCCATCCCCAAATTGAGTTACCAAGTTTGGGGTAGGTCCCAAGTAAATCAGTTTTCAACATGCACCTCACGTGGTTCTCATGCAAACTAGCATTTTATAGTATCTTAGCCATGGCTGAAGAGGGAAACCATCTCACATGTTTCTGGATTGAGGACAGAACTCAAATGAAAGCTAACAAGAACCGAGCTCACAAAGTAGCAGCACCCCTGGAGGAGCGTAGGAGTAGGAAAGGGTACCCAGGGAAAGGCGGCACTGCCCCTGGAATCCCTGGGCAGTTTAACAGAGCAGGAACCGGGGAGCACAATCTGAGGAGCCTGCTCTCCACTGTGGTTGCACTTGGGGACAAAACAAAAGAAAGCCCTTTTCCATCCAATGAATGTGAGAACTACTTGAACCAGCCTGAGGAAAACCAGTATTTAGGAGGGTTGACTGTTAACACCAAAATAAAAGCATGCTCTAGCAGAAGCTGAGTGTCAAGCGGTGGCAGAGTACACCTTGAAGCACTGCTGGAGGGAGGCGGAGGGGTACTTGCCACGAAAATGCCCTTGGGATCCTCTGACAGCACTGCTGGGACAGCTGAGGCACCTGTTCCCTTTTGGTCCCACTGGTGGCCTGAAGTGCGGCCTCGGAGCACCTGCTCACTGGGCTGTGCTCTGCAGCCCCTGCTCCCTCTTCCTAGGGTCACAGAAGAACTGCAGCTTTCTGGGGAGCAGCTTCACCTCCACAGGCATCGCTTCATACTCCTCACTGTCAATGCTGAAAGAGCCCCCTGTTCCCTCAGGCAGAAGCAAGGCACACTGGCTGGCCTGGAGACACGTGGTGCCCTCGGCATGCAGCTTGGGGTCTCTCACCTTTTTACTTCCTATAGTTATAAAGTCTCCTTTGCTGACAGCATCAGGTTCAATGCAAATGTTCATAAAGTCTTCTTTATGGTCAGGTCAAGCTGACTGTTCCGTGTTGTGATGGACAGTTCAATAGTTGACAGCTGCACTTCTTTCCAGACCTCTGGGCTCACCTCTTGAGAGGGGGCATCCTGTGGTTGTGCCCAGAATGATGCCAGCCTTCGTAATATTCTCCTATACAAGGAAGGCCGGGGAGAGGTCTCTTCTGGTTCACTGGGAGATCTCTCTGTAGGTCCCGTGTACGAGAT